TGGAAACAAGTGATTTGGACGGATCTCGACACGAGAGCGCGCGCATGTGGCCCGCACAGCATTATTCGACACGGTTCCATCGGGAGCGCACGTGTGAGATCAAACATGCCACTGCTCCACATGGTTTTCTTTTGGCAGGAACGAGGGAGGAGGTTCGACAAGAGGCCCGGTTGGAACAGTACGAGCTCCATATTCTGCATGGCAAGGGCGCCCAGGCACAGTAGCCATGAGAATCAGAATGCGGAGCCCGATCTCTATGTCGGGCCTCGGTCTGGGTATAGTGTCTGGAGTTCTTCGGGAAAGACAGCTTGGGTGGTGCAAACTATGTGGTGCAGCCTGCGCTGCCAACACTGAAGCCGTCAACTCCAATGATGGAGCAAACATGCCACCCTCCCACCCGCATCTTGTGTGAAAAACCCATCTGGAGGTGACAGCGGCGACGACGACGACGACGATGACGATGATAATGTTCATGACGACGGTGGGAGCGATGTCGAGGATAATGATAAAACCGACGGTGGCAACTGATTGTAGCAACGATGACGCTTGCGATGATGATGATGATGATGATGATGCTGATGCTGATGATGATGATGATGATGATGATGATGATGATGATGATCATCATGATGATGATCATGACGATGATGAAGAATTGTATGACTGAGGACGATCAGAAGGTCCTGCGCTCGCGGACAAACCTGACGATGGCGACGACATCGACGATGACGACTACGGCGGCGGCGATAGTGACGACGATTGTGGTGATAACGATTGCTCTGAGGTGACGACGACGATGGTGACAACGACGATAGTGATGACGATGATGACGATGGTGATAACGACGATGGAGATGACGACGATGGTGATGACGATAGTGATGGCGACGATTGCTCTGGTGGTGATGGTGACAATGACGACGATGGTGATGACGACGATGACGATGACGGCGGCGGTGACGACGATGGCGATGATGGCGATTGCTCTGTCTGATGGGTTCTCGCATGTGGTTGGGCACCTACGGCCCCCCGGACGCCGTCCCCGCCGCCCGCGCGCCGCCCCGGCTGCTCCTGGCGGAAGTCTTCCGCCTCTGGGTGCTCGCCCGTCCTTTTAGCCCCGCGGCCGCCCGCTCCTTCCTTCCTCCTGCATATCGGCCAGTTCGCTTCGCAGTTCTCCTGCATCGCTGCAACGCTGGAGCGGATTGCCCCGCCTCGCCACCGACGGAACAAAACCGCAGGGTTCCAAAAGGCGGTTTGTTGGGGAGAGGCTTTTCCAGAGAGCCCCCCAGGAGCCCCGAAACCTCGTCAAAACAGGGGGTGCGAAGCCCTTGACGGACCCCTCCTGGAAAACCCCCATCCCTCCCCAAAAAAAAAACCTTTGGAACCCTCTGGCAAAAGTGTTTGGGCTCCTCTGTGTCGAACTTATGGGATGACCAGTGGTGCTGGAAGGCATTGCACGTGTGCGCCTGCGGAGTCGCGCGCGCGCGGCCTGCACTGTGCTGTGGAGCACAGTGGAGGCCAATGCCAAGAAGCACCTCCTCCTCCTCCTCCTCCAAGAAACACCTCCGCCTCCTCCTCCTCCTCCTCCCCCTCCTCCTCCTCCTCCTCCCCCTCCTCCTCCTCCTCCTCCCTCCTCCTCCTCCTCCTCCTCCTCCTCCTCCTCCTCCTCTCCTCCTCCTCCTCCCTCCTCCTCCCCCTCCTCCTCCTCCCCCCCCTCCTCCTCCTCCTCCTCCTCCTCCTCCTCCTCCTCCTCCTCCTCCTCTCCTCCTCCTCTCCTCCTCCTCCTCCTCCTCCCCTCCTCCTCCCCCCCTCCTCCTCCTCCTCCTCCTCCTCCTCCTCCTCCTCCTCCCTTCCTCCTCCTCTCCTCCTCCTCCTCCTCCCGCCTCCTCCTCCTCCTCCCCCTCCTCCTCCGCGTCCCCTCCTCCTCCTCCTCCTCCTCCTCCTCCCCCCCCTCCTCCTCCTCCTCTTCCTCCTCCTCCTCCTCATCCTCATTCCCCCATCTCCTACCGACAGTGGCAGCCCACGCCAAGAAACACCCTGCTGGCCTCCGGGGTGCCCCGGGTTTCTTGGGTGTCGATGGTCTTTCGATAGAGAGCGTGGCGTTCCACACCAAATACCCATGGACGTCCTGGGCTCTCATGGTTGGGTTTCTCGTGGAAGGCTTCTCGTGGTCGGGCCCCTGCTGCAGGGTTGGCGGGCGCGCGGTGGCTGTTGAACTTTTCTGACGCGTGCGCGTGGCCCGCACTGCGCCGCTTTACACAACTGCTGTAAAGCAAGACTGTTTCCTCACGATCTGGGCAGCAGTCTTTCCTCACGATGTCGGGCAATGTCTGTCTTGATCTGCCAATCGGCTCTGGATACATATGTCTTGAAACTGCAGAAAGAAACACCGATGATTGCCGAACGATTTCGACATGCGCGCGCGGCAGAGAGTGCATGTGCCCCGCATCGCATTAATTTAGACCGGGCGGCGGTGTGGGGGCAGCTGGGAGCCGGTATGATGCACACCATCGAGGCTTACCGCGTGTTCATCGCCTCCGTCATCGCTTTCATCGCGCAGCTCGACCCCCTCCCCGACGGTTTCCCGGAGTTCGAGAAACGTGTTTTGCGGAAGCTCTTCCCGGGCCCGTGTGACTGGATACCCGGCGACATACTGCGGGCCCTCACGACATTCGGATTCCCCCGGAATTTCCTGGACGTCCAGGCCATTGCCAACGTCGCGAAGGGGCCCTCCGGCGACAGCTAGACCATTGGCGTCTCGTTACGTTGCCGGGGCGCCGATGCCAGAGGCTATTGAGGGCCCTAGGCAGCATCAAGGCGTTGGTGCCGCCCCGGGTGTTGGCCGCGGTGTTGCGATCCAACCTGAACGGCTGGATGACGGCACGGAGGTTTCAGCGGTGTGGTAAATGCGTGCTCGGCTGCGCACGTGCCGACGATTCGGTCCAGCATTACGCACAATGCCCACTCTATCATCAGCTGTGTCGGCAGCACTTTCGCCTGGAACGCCCTGACTCGGCCGTGGCCCTCGACGACTTCTTGCTCATCGCTTCGGCTACGCGACAAGTGCGCATCGACGAGCCTCCGGTTGGCGGTGCTGTTGCCTCGGCGCTCCGAGCCCTGAGCGTGTATGCTTTGTACCGCACCCATAATACTGCCCGCAATTCACCTGGGACTAGCCCCCGGTGTGACCTGTTCCGCGGCTGCGTCCGCGAAGGGGCCAGGGGTCATGCCAATGCCATGTCTTTGATCAGCGCGGTGCACGCACAAGCGCCGGCGCCAAGATTAGCCTCTCCTCCTTGTCCTGGGTTGGGGTGGGTCTTGGGGCCGGTCGGGTCCTGGGGTGTTTTTGGGCGTCGTTGTGTCGGTTTGTCGGTTTGTCGGTTTCTCCCTGGGTCCCTCTCCCCCTCCTTGCAGTTCGTGCGATTTTTATGTTACTTGCTAGGGCACCTGGTGCTGTTTCCCCTCCTCGCGATCTCGCGGCTGGGGCCCGACTCGGCGGCCGCGCAGGAGAGCTGCGGTGCTCGTTTTGAGATCGGAGTTGAGTGTATCACTCGGGGTCTGTATTGCGAATAACTGCCCGAATTACCGCCCCTAGTTTCGGCCACGTTCGCAGGACAGGCGTTCTGTTGATGACAGCGGTTTCTTTGTCTTTGCTCTTGCGTGTTTCCTATTTCTCTGCGCTTGCGCTGCAGTGGTCATGTGGGCGCCCAGACTGACAGGCAGTCGGGCGATGACCGCCGAGTCCAATCAGTCTGCACTTTTGCCCCACAAGCCGGAACAACATAAGATTGACATCCTCATTTTTGGGTGTACCGGCCTATCTGCGGCTTTAGGGGTGTAGTTTGTTGGACGTCGCGTTCTCTCCTCACGGCCTGCGGGCTGATTTCATCCCTTGCTTTGAAGGCCAGACGTCCGGCCGGAAGGAAATTCGAAGAGGCAAACAAAAACATCTTAGAGTGACGCATGTGCACAGCATAGTTTTTGTTGCATGCGGTCGCGGGGGGAAGGCCAATTCCCCTTTGCCTGGGATGGGATGGTTTGACAGCTAGGGTGAACGATCGTGTTGAGTGGGTCTGATGGGAAAAGCGAATCATGCGTACCGAAAACAAGTTCTTGGAAAATCCATCTGCGTGTGCACCCGTCAACGCCAGCCAGCGCACGAGGCGGCCACGAACGCTTACTGGGCGAAGAACGGGGAACGCCAGTCGGGGGCGCCAACCGGGCAAAAACCCAGAAACACCAGCCAGCGCGCGGGGCGCCTTCAAGCTTGCCAGAAGCCGAACACCTGGAGACGTCAGCTGATTATCCAGTTGCTTGCGGCAAATACCGCCACTGTGCCAGCCCAACATTCAGGGTGGCGTTTGTTCGAGGGTGGGAATGCCGTGATGCGGATGAGGATGATGACGATGCTGTTTTTGATGATGATGTTGATGGTGATGACTATAATATGACTGGTGCTGTTGTTGGTATGATGGTGGGAATGGTGCCGACAATGGCGATGGTGATGTTGGTGTTCATGATGGTGGGGATGAGGATGAGGATGAGGATGACGATGATAGTGGTTGTGGTGATGATGATCCTGATGAGGAGGAGGAGGAGGAGGAGGAGGAGGAGGACGACGACGAGCGGTAGGAGAAGAAGGAGGAGGAGGAGCAGGAGGATTAAGAAGAGGAAGGTCATCACATGAGACACCGTTTTTCTTCACTTTTTGAGGAGATCGCCCACCGTGCGAAAACCGGGAAACGCCGAACGCCAGCCAGTTACTTGCGGGCGCCCAACGGGCAAGCATTCGGAAACACGGGCCAGCGCGCGGGGCGCCGGGAGACGCAAGCCACGCATTTTCACCCTCAAGCAGAATTCTTTTAGTGCAAGCATTGTTTGGGCAGGGTTCTCTCGCGAGTCCTGGTCCTCGTAAGCTCAATCCCAGAAGCACCTACTCTTTCGCGGCTTGCTGCCATTATGTGTTGAACATGGGCCTCATCTGTGGTCCCTCCTAGTCAGGATACACGGCAGAATACCTGTCGCTCAAGAAGGAGTTGCTTCCTCGCTTGCATGCCTTTGTGCTGAAGGCAGTTGCTGGCACTGACTTGCAGGGGTCGCGCAGACAGGATCGCACATAGTGTAAATTGTTTACGGGTCCCGTGGCACGATTCATGGTGGTCGAGACGCTCACCATTTGCTTTGCAACGATCCACAGTCTGCCTCTGAGAAACATCGCCCGACTTCGTGTGGCTATCTCGACAAGTTTATTTCGTGGCTGCGTGGGTGGTCTGGTGGTTGCCCTTCTCTTCCTTGAAAGCACTAGGAGGCGTTGCAGTACACACGTTTGTTGCGTGCGCGAATCTTCAACCGCTAGCGGGCTACATATTCCAACCATCAGGTAGCAGTTCTTTCTGTTGCGTAACTACATCTATGCATTCAAGCATTGGGCGCCACTTCGCAACCTCAGTGATGCATCGTGGGCGCATCAGTCAGCTTCCCCTCTGCCAAAGGGCGCAAGCATCGTGTTTGTATCCATGCAGAAGGCCTCGCTCCAAGATGATTTGTACGCAGTTACGTGTTTCCAATACCGTTGCGATTCACGGACCAAAACAGGAGCGGTTGTCGCACATATCCAATATCGGTAAGCTGTTTCTTTAATTCCTTGTACCCAGTTGCTTCCGCCAAACGCCCGACATCGCGCCAACACAGCAGCGCATCGGTAAGGAAGTTCAAGCTAAGACCCGCTCTGCGTTAGCGCCCTGTCTGAAGCGGCGCGGGTCTTGATCGCCCCGTTCTTTGTTCGCAGCTTCTTTCTCCCCTTCCTTCATACATCCTCCGTCTCCTCCACCCATCCTTCTGCATCCTCCTTGAAGGCACACATGTGGCTGATCTGGGGCCTCGTGAGCGGGGCTTGAAGGGCCCTCTGGGGGGCTTTTTGGTGGGCTGTCTGGGCCCTTGTATGGACCCATGGGGAACCCATCAGGGATCGCGGGGCTGTCTTGGGCGCGATCTGGGGGCCGTCTTGGAGCCCTTTTTTGTGCCGCCCTGCGGGGGGGGCAGGTTCTCAGACAGTGCTGGGGCCGTTTCGGGGGTCGGGGGCGTCCTCGTCCTCGCCTCGCCCTCCCCTCCCTTCCCCAATCCCCCGAACTCGGTTTCCCGCTGCGGATGATGATGATGATGATGATGATGATGATGATGATGATGATGATGATGATGATGATGATGATGATGATGATGATGATGATGAAGATGAAGAAGATGAAGATGAAGATGAAGATGATGATGATGATTATGATGATGATGATGATGATGATGATGATGATGATGATGACGATGATGATGATGATGATGATAATGATGATGATGATGATGATGATGCTGCTGATGATGATGATGATGATGATGCTGATGATGGTGATGATGATGATGTTGATGATATTGATGAGCATGATGATGATGATGATGATGATGATGATGATGATGATGATGATGATGATGATCATGATCATGATCATGATCATGATCGTGATCATGATGATGATCATGATCATGGTGATGACGGTAATGGTGATGACAATGGTTGTGAAAATGTTGATGACGACGGTGATGTTGTTGATGATTTTGATGGTGATGATGATGATGTTGATGATGACGCTTATGATGTTGATAATGATGTTGATGCTGCTGCTGATGGTCATGGTGATGATGATGCTGATGAGGATGAGGATGAGGATGATGATGATGGTTGCGGTGATGGTGATGATAACGATTATGGTTGTGATGGCGATGATGATGAGGATGGTCCCGTTGATGATGACGAATATGAAGCTGATGATGATGATGATGAGGACGACGATGATGTCGACGGCGACGAAGACGACGGCGAACAAGATGACGACGAGGACGACGACGAAGCCGATGCCCATGATGATGACGCGTAGAGGGGGGAGGAGGAGAAGGAGAAGGGAGACGAAGGAGAAGGGACGGAAGTGGGAGGAGGATCGAGGAGGAGTAAGAGGATCGAGGAGGAGAAGGAGAAGGAGAATCGAAGATCGCATCCCCGCGCCTGCCCTGGAGGACGACTGGCTCATGGTCTGCCCCGACCAGGAGGACGGCTGGGCCTTCGCCCACTCTCACAGGCCCGACCCGTCCAACCCGCCGTGGGCGCCAGCGCAGCCGAGCTCGGCACGCAATCCCCAGACCCCCTCGCGTCGTGAAAAAGTCCAGACGGAGGTTTTTCGCGATTCTCGGCCTCCAGGGGCCCTTCCCGGGCCTCGGGGCTGCCAAAAAACGACTCAGGATGAATAACCGGTCCCGGAGAAGGGGTCCAGACCTTTGGGGGTCGACGTTACGAAAAAAAACGACGTCGGGGGTTTGGGCCCGACCAACCAACAGTCGGGCCTGTCCCTCAACAGGAGGAATATTGGAAAATAGTAAAAAAATGGCTGGGGACGAATGTTTGACAATTTTTTAACAGCGTGGGTATTTGGGTTTTTGGTACAAAAAAAAGTTCGCCCAAAATCCCCCTGCAGGGGAACAGGCCCGACTCAAGACCAACCCTGGCTCTCGACCCCTGAGATCTGGGAGTTGCAACTTTTTCACGCCAGTCGTTTTCGCCCGGAGGCGGGCCCCGGGGACCACCACGGATCGATTCAGCGGTCCCTGGAGACCCAGCGTATCGAAGCAGTCCAGGCGGAGTTCTTGCTGCCCAGGCGGGGGTCTTGGGACCTCGCAGATCGATCTGGCTTGAAAAGTGCACCAGAAAGATCGGGTCTAGGGCTCCTGCCGTGATTGTTCGCGGAGTTGTGTTTTTTTTGTTTTTGCCACATCGTATCTTAGGTCTCAGATGACATCGGCCTGCCCGCTGGTGCCCCACGGCAATTTCACACCCCCGAGCGCCCCGGGGGCCTATAAAAGCTTTTGGGCACTTCATGGCCTTTAAGGATCGAGGAAGAATGTGGCTCAATATCTCTTACAGTAAAGCTGTTTTACCGTATTTGTCTACTGCACCCCCTGCTCAGCACCCTCCTCTTCCTCATCCTCCTCCACCGTCCTGGCTCCCTGTGGCTCCCTACGAGTGTATCCAAACGTCTGGCGACGTCTTAGCAGTTCTTGTCAGAATAGCGTTTCCTCACCTGCCGCGTCCGAGGGGCTTCCACGTGCCCTGAGGCCGTCAGAAAGCAACTCAGGACGAGAAAGCCTCGCCATTTCCCGAGGGCCCCGCGACGCGAAAAACGAGCGTGGGCTTCATGATTCCCTCCATCCGCGCCAGACGTGTTGATATTAAGTCGGGCCTGTCCGTCTACAGGAGGAGTATGAAAAGTAGTCCAGAAATCATATGGGGACGATTTTTCTACTATTGCTGGCTTTTTAAAATTTTTCCGTATTTATAATTTTCCCTCCAACATCTGGTTGTAGGGGGGCATGCCCGACCTATTATTAGTAGTTTGGGTCGGGCTGGGCGTTTTGCTCGGCACCTCCTTCAACTTCCAAGTGCCCCGAAGGAGTCGGACATCCAGCAGCCGGGGCAGTGGGTGCTCAGAGCCGCGTGCCCCCCGGACAGGATCGCGTCGATACAAAAAATCAGGACGGGAGGTTTCTGACCATTTTCTGCCCTGGGGCATTTTCGGCCCTGGGGGGCCCTCGCTGGGCCTTGGGGCCGTCAAAAAACGACTCGGGACGAGGAACCGGTCCTGGGGAAGGGGTCGGGACTTCCAGGGACGCCGTCCTGAAAAAATCAAGACGTGCTCAGAGCCGCGCGCACGATGATCGAAGAAGGTAGAACGCCATAAACACGTTTTGTGGCGCTCCACGCCATAATGTTGTCATTTGAAGATGAAGAAGATTCATATATAAAAAATGTATGATTCCACATATATATATATAAAAGTATAAACGAACAAAAAAGCAATAAACAGAAACAACAACAACAAAACAAACAACTACAGAGCAAAACGTCATAAGCATAAGCTTTTGGCGCTCCGCGTGGATCTCTTGGATCCGCGCCGGGCACCCCCGGCGGCGCCTCCGGCGCAGCCCCTGGCGTGTTCCGCGCGCCAGGGGGGGAGGTCCAGCGCAAATCCAAGAAACACGCGCGGAGCGCCAAATTTTTATTCCCCACATGCTTAGTGAGGTTATTGTTTTCTCCCCACCCGCGTCGCACCCGCGAAGCTCACCTCACCTTCCTCCCCCTCCTCCTCCTTCCTCCCCTGACCCACGCGCAACACATGCATACACGGCACGTGCACGTTCTGGGGACCCACATGAGACACACGTCCAGATACAGCCGCACACGCATCATACACATCGCGCATACGCATCATACACATCACGCAAAGTATGGCAGGGGTGGCATTTCCTCGACGCCACAGGGGGGTGTGCTGGGGGTGGGGTCCTCATCCGTCGTACGCTCGCAAAGTGTGGCCGGGATTGCAATTTCTCGATGCCACAAGGGGGGTGGCTGGGGGTGGGGTCCTTATCCGTCGTACGCTCACAGAGTGTGGCAGGGGTGGCATTTTCTCGATGCCTTAGGGGGTGTGCTGGTGGCGGGGTCCTTATTCCCCACATGCTTCGTGGGGTTCTGGTTTTCTTCCCTTCCGCGTCTCACCCGCGTCTCCTCCTTCTCCTTCTCCTTCTCCTCCCTCTCCTTCTCTTCCCTGCCGCGCCGCACCCACGCTCATTCACCTCACTCAGCTCAGCTCAGCTCAGCACGGCACAGCACAGCTTGGCTCAGCTTAGCTGAGTGCGCATGGGGTGGTCTCCCTATGCGTGCCAGGGTCGTCCAGGCATAGCAGGCGTGGCATTTTCTCGACACCAGAGGGGGTGCGCAGGGGGTGGTCTCCCTATGCGTACCAGGGTCGTCCAGGCATTGCAGGCGTGGCATTTTCTCGACACCAGAGGGGGTGCGCAGGGAGTGGTCTCCCTATTCGTGCCAGCGTCGTCCAGGCATTGCAGGCGTGGCATTTTCTCGACACCAGAGGGGGTGCGCAGGGGGTGGTCTCCCTATGCGTGCCAGGGTCGTCCAGGCATAGCAGGCGTGGCATTTTCTCGACACCAGAGGGGGTGCGCAGGGGGTGGTCTCCCTATGCGTGCCAGGGTCGTCCAGGCATAGCAGGCGTGGCATTTTCTCGACACCAGAGGGGGTGCGCAGGGGGTGTTCTCCCTATGCTGCCAGGGTCGATCACGGCCTTGCAGGCGTGGCATTTTCTCGACACCAGAGGGGGTGGCGCAGGGGTTGGTCTCCCTATGCTGCCAGGTCGTCCAGGCATTGGCAGGCGTGGGCATTACTCCGACACCAGAGGGGTGCGCATGGGTGTTCCCTCCCCTATGCGTGCCAGTGTCGTCCCGGCATTGCAGGCTTGGCTTTTCTTCTCGACCCCAAGGGGTGCCGCAGGGGGTGGCCTCCCTATGCGTTCCAGGTTCGTCCAGGCATTGCAGGCCGTGGCATTTACCTCGACAACAGGGAGGTGCGCATGTGGTGTTCTTCCCCTATGCGTGCCAGGGGCGTCCAGACAAGCGGCGTGGCGTTTTTCTCGACACCAATGGGGTGCGCAGGGGGTGGTCTCCCTATGCTTGCCAGTCCGTCCAGGCGTAGCAGGCGTGGCATTTTCTCGACACCAGAGGGGGTGCGCAGGGGTGGTCTCCCTATGCGCGCCAGGGTCGTCCAGGCATTGCAGGCGTGGCATTTTCTCGACACCAGAGGGGCGTGCGCAGGGTGTGGTTTCCCTGTGCGTGCCAGGGTCGTCCAGGCATTGCAGGCGTGGCATTGTCTCGACACCAGAGGGGGTGCGCAGGGGGTGGTCTCCCTATGCGTGCCAGGGTCGTCCAGGCATTGCAGGCGTGGCATTTTCTCGACACCAGAGGGGGTGCGCAGGGGGTGGTCTCCCTATGCGTGCCAGGGTCGTCCAGGCATTGCAGGCGTGGTATTTTCTCGACACCAGAGGGGGTGCGCAGGGGGTGGTCTCCCTATGCGTGCCAGGGTCGTCCAGGCATAGCCTCTAGTGCGGGATTGCGTATTACCTCTCGCATCCAAGTGCCAGGCGACGCCGGATATGACCGTCACAGGTGACTCCTCAACCCCTCCTCTCCCCCCACACGTCCTCCCCCTCCTTTCAACGACCACAGTGGGCACCTGAGAGCATGACGGCGGTGGTAGTGGTAGCGCGGTTCACACAAGACATACAATCAGTATGTGGGGTTCCTCGGTAGCGTAATTCGTCGTACGCTCGCAAAGTGTGGCAGGGATTGCATTTTCTCGATGCCACAGGGTGTGTGCTGGGGGTGGGGTCCTTGTCCGTCGTACGCTCGCAAAGTGGGGCGGCGGTGACACTTTCTCGACGCCACGGGGGGGGTGCTGGGGGTGGAGTCCTTCTCCGTCGTACGCTCGCAAAGAGTGGCGGGGGTGGCACTTCCTCGACGCCACAGGGGGTGTGCTGGGGGTGGGGTCCTTATCTATCGTACGCTCGCAAAGTGTGGCTGAGGTGGCACTTTCTCTACACCAGAGAGGGTGCGCAGGGGGTGGTCTCTCAGCGCGGTTTATATTCGTGCCAGGGTCGGAGAGCGTGGCAGGCGTTGAACTTTCTGGGCGCCAGAGAGGGTGAACAGGGAGTGGTCTCTCACCGCGGCCTTTGTGCGTGCCAGGGTCGGAGAGCGTGGCAGACGTGACACTTTCTCGACACCAGAGGGGGGTGCGCAGGGGGTGGTCTCTCACCGCGGCTCCTATGCGTGCCAGGGTCAGAGAGCGTGGCAGGCGTTGTACTTTCTTGGCGCCAGACTGCAGGGGATGGTCTCTTGCCGCGGCCTCAATGCGTGCCAGGGTCGGAGAGCGTGGCAGGCGTCTCGACACCAGAGATGGCACTCAGGGCGTGGTCTCTCACCGCGGCTCCTATGCGTGCCAGGGTCGGAGAGCGTGGCAGGCGTGGCATGTTTTCGACACCAGAAGGGGGTGCGCAGGGGGTGGTCTCTCACCGCGGCTCCTATGCGTTGCAGGCTCGCAGGGCATGGCAGGCGTGGCATTTTCTCCACGCCACGGGGGGTGCGCTGGGGGTGGAGGCGCTATCCGCCCTGGCCGTCCACGGCACAGCAGGCGCGGCACTTTCTTGACCACCTAGCATCATCCACGTATGTTGCACGTCAGTGATGCTAAGACAAGAGCTCAAACGAAGTATGTGGGGTTAATCGGCAGCGTAATGGTATGGCGTCTTTCTCTTCTAGACTGGGCGATGCGTAGGTCACCTTGGGAAGCTTCCAGCAGCCACAGGAATGGAGGCCGACGCAATCCGATGCACATTGTGCTGGGACAGACGCAGATGCTCTGACGCTTGAAACGTCGATTGACGAGCGGCTCTGTAGATCGGCGAGCGGCCGTATACATGCACGAGGCACGAGTGGGGGCGGCCGTTGTTCGTCCGCGCTCTCGCCAGTGCGACGCCGGTGCTCCCTTCTGCAGTGCGTAGCGGGTTCTCCCAGGGCCACCTCGCTTGACAGGATCGTGGGGCTCCGGCCTCTCTGGCGTTCCCTCGACGGCGCTCCGAGGACTCGGCATCGCTCGGGCGTGTGCTTTTTTTCGGCGGGGACCATCCAGGAGCCTTTTCTTTCGGTCAACGAGCAAAAATCGGAGAACAAAGTCTCGGAGGTCCGCGCGGATTCAACGGATCCGCGCTGGACCCCCTTGGCGGCGCCTCCCTCGCCGCCCTTGACGCGCTCCGCGCGCCAAGGAGGAGGGGTCCAGCGCGGATCCGAGAAATCCGCGCGGGCCTCCGAGTTGTTATGCTTCTGTCCTTGTTCGTCCCCCTAATCTTGGGCACCCATCGCGGGGATCCTGGCCCTGCCGGGGAGCTCCACCTGCGGCCCCAGTGGGAGGGTCCGCATGGTGGTGCCGCCGATTTCGCCACGCCTCTCACCAGGACCGCTGCCCCATTGAGGAGGTTTCGCCTACGGCCTCAGCGGAAAAGTTAGCATGCGTACTTCGTCCCCCTCAAAATCCACACACGAGATCGAAGACTCCTCCCCCTCCTCCTCCTCCTCCTTCTCCTCCTCCTCCTCTTCCTCCTCCTCAGTCTCCTCCGTCTTCTCCGTCTCCTCCGTCTCCCACTCCTCCTCCCTCCTACTCCTCCTCCTCCTCTCCTCCTCCTCCTCCTCCTCCTCTTCCTCCTCCCTCCTCTCGTCCTCCTCGTCTCCGCCTCCCCTCCTCCGTCTCCTCTGTCTCCTCTGTTTCCTCCTCCTCATCCTCATGTCTCCTCCTCCTCCTCCCTCCTCCTCCTCCTCCGAAAAAAAAATCCACCTTTCCTCCTCATCCTCTCCCTCTCACTCCGTCTTCCTCCGTCTCCTCCTCCTCCTCCTCCTCCTCCTCCTCATCATCTCCTCATCCACATCATCATCATCATCATCATCATCATCATCATCATCATCATCATATCATCATCATCATCAGCATCATCATCATCATCCTGCTCCTGCTCCTGCTCCTGCTCCTGCGCCTGCTCCTCTCCTCCTCCTCCTCCTCCTCCTCCTCCTCCTCCTCCTCTTCCGTTTCCTCCTCCTCCTCCTCCGTCTTCTCATCATCATCATCATCATCATCATCATCATCATCATCATCATCATCATCAGCAGCAGCAGCAGCAGCAGCCGCAGCAGCATCAGCATCAGCATAAGCATAAGCATCAGCATCAGCATCAGCATCATCATCATCATCAGCAGCAGCAGCATCAGCATCAGCATCAGCATCAGCATCATCATCATCATCATCATCATCATCATCATCATCATCATCATCATCACATGATCGTCATCATCATCATCATCATCATCAACATCATCATCATCATCACCATCATCATCATCTTCATCTTCAGATTCATCTTCATCTTCATCTTCATCTTCCTCCTCCTCCTCCTCCTCCTCCTCCTCCTCCTCCTCCCCCTCCTCCCACTCCTCCTCCTCCTCCTTCTCCGTCTCATCCTCCTCCTCCTCCTGCTCCTTCTCCTCTTCCTCCTCCCTCTCCTCCTCCTCCTCCTTCTCCTCCTCCTCCGTATCCTCCTCCCCTCCCCAGCCCTTTGAGAAGCCTCCGCCCAAGTCTTCTCTCAAGAAGCAGCTGCTATTGTTCGCGATAACGCCCTTGGCCGGCCCCGCCCCCTCCCCCCACTCCCCCTCTTGTGGTCACGTCACGATTCGCGCCGGCGCCGTCTGGGAGTTTGACGTTCGCGAGCGTGGCGTGACGGCTTCTCTTCTCCTCTTCGTCCTCCTCTCCGCTCACTCATCCTCCTCCTTCATCCTCCGTCTTCATATCTCCTCCTCAATCCTCCCTCCTCCTTTCTCCGTCTCCTCCCCGTCTCCTCATCCTCCGTCTCCTCTCGTTCTCCTCCTCAATTCTCTCTCTGCTCCTCCCTCCTCCTCCTCCTCCTCCTCCTCCTCCTCCTCCTCCTCCGTCTCCTCCTCCTCATCCTCCTCCTCCTCCTCATTCTCGCAGGCTGGGCGTGCAGGGCTGGTTCCCCCCGACCTACATCCGCGCCGAGCCAGCGGCCCCCTCCTGAGGCTGGGGCGTGCCCGCGCCCGCGCGCGCCCCGCCCTGCGACGCCGCCGCTCGCCGGGCACCGGCTTGAGACGTATCCCTATCCTTCTGTTTGGCATTACCTTGCCTCGGTGCCGATCTTGACGATGCCCACTATTTTTTCGGCGGCGAGCGAGGGGGGGAAGTGAGAAGGAGGAGGCCTTCCCAGACGGCTCAGAAGTCCCTCGGCCTTCTGAGAAGCTCTCTGAGCCTTCCCCGGCGTCACGGAAGGCTTCTCCGCGGGCGCGAGGGCCTTTGGAGAAGCCCCGCCGCCTCCTGAGAAGGCCTTTTCTCCTTCTCACTTCCCCCCCTCGCTCGCCGCCCAGTTTCTTGAGGGCACATCCCAAAGATCGTCCCCGCCTCGAGCTTTGCCGAGCTCAGCGTCGAAACAGTGTCGGACGAGTATCTCCCAGGGCCCGACGCGTGGACCCCCCCGAGTTTCGGTGCGCCTTTTTTTTTGTGGTGCTCGAGGCTCTTTCTGGCGATCAAGGCCAAAGTAGGTTGGAACATCCGCATTCTCGCCGAGGAGGAGGAGAGGAGAAGGAGGAGGAGGAGGAGGAGGCAGAATGCAGTCCCAGACTGTTCTCGTCGGTTCTCCACGGTTCTCCACGGTGGCCCGGGGAGGGGGAGGTGTTTGCGCCCGCCCTCGCCCCTCCTCGTCCATCTCCTCTTCCTCCTCCTCCTCCTCCTCGCCCTCCTCCTCCTCCTCATCCTCCTCCTCGAGCTCTGCCGAGCGCAGGCACGGGGAGCCGGCTCGGCTCGGCGGCCCTGCGCGCGCCGCCGCGCGCCGCCGCGCAAGGGGCCTCGCGGGCGCCGCCGCGGGCCGCGGGCCTCGGCGGGCGCCGCGGAGAGAAAGGGCGCGGAGCGCGGCGGGCGGGCGGGGGGGGGGGCATCCCTGAAGCAGCCGCGCGCAGGGCGAGCATTTTTTTGCTTTGCGTGGGGGGAGGAGCGAGGAGGAGGAGGAGGAGGAGGAGGAGGAGGAGGAGCGAGGAGGAGGAGGAGGAGCGAGGAGGAGCGAGGAGGAGGCGGAGGAGGAGGAGGAGGAGGGGGCAAAGGGTGAAATCGGAAGTGCCGCTTCGACTGGTTTTCGAGGCTTGCACCTGCACACGGTGAATCACAGGACGGCTTGCCGTTCGAAGTGCGGAAGCCCACATGTGGATTTTCCTTGCGTGGAGAGCAAAGGGTGACATCGGAATCTCTGGGCATATTCTCTGGGCGGAGGGCAGAGGGTAGAGGGCGAAGCAGATTATTGGGGAGTCCTCCCGTCCCTTCTGCGATCTTCAGCCCGGCGTGGCGCGCGAAAGTGATCTTCCCGAGCGTGTTCTTTGCGTGGAGGGCAAAGGGTGAAATCGGAAGTGCCGCTTCGACTGGTTTCGAGGTTTGCATCCGCACACGGTGAAGCACAAGACGGCTTGACGTTCGTGGTGCGACAGCCCACATGTGGATTGTTTCTTTGCGTGAGGGCAAAAGGGTGACATCGGAATCTCTGGGCATAATCTTTGGGCGGATGGCAGAGGGTAAAGGGCGAAGCAGATTCTTGGAGCGGGGTGGTCCTCCCGTCCCTTCTACGATCTTCAGTCCGGCGTGGCGCGCGAAAGTGATCTTCGCGAGCGTGTTATTTGGCTGGGGGACAGAGGGTGAAGTTGGGAATGCCGTTTCGATTGGTTTTCGAGGTGTGAATTTGCACACGGTGAATCACAAGATGGCTTGAGTTTCGAGGTGCGGAAGTTCACCTTGAGCCCTCCACCCTAAGATACTGCTCGGGCGGAGGGGGGTATACAGCCAGGACGCTGAAGGAGGAACCCTTTTCGTTGGGGAGGGGCTCAGGGTGCCTCAATTGTTTTACCGTTGTTCTGAGGTGTTCCTTGGGCTTTCCCGGCTTTCCCATGGGGAACCGAAATTGAATGGGCCTCGTTCCTTACTTAGGCTTTCTTATGGCAGCGTTTCGACTGTATGGAGAGTGCAGCCATGGACGCTGAAATAAGGACCGCGTTGGGTTCGGAAGGGGCTCGCTGTTCCTCAGGTCATCCTTCTGTGGTTGTTCCTCTAGCGTTCCTCGTGCACGCAGGCACTGTTGGCGCCCAAGAGGGGCCTCGTTCCTTATCGATCGCTGCTTATTTCAGCGGCCCGACCTGTGTGGGGAGAGGGGAAGCCTTCCTCCCTAGAAGCACCCCTGCGTCGAGAGCGGTGTTGCAAAGTGTCGGGGCGGAGAAAGCGCACGCCAGGTCCGTGCCGGGTCCGGGCCGGTTCTGGGCCAGGTCCTGGCCGGGTCTGGGTCCGGGTCGGATCCAGGCCAGGTCTGGGCAGGGTCTGGTTTGGGTCCGGGCTGGTTCGGGCGCACGTCCGGGTCCGGGCCAGGTCTGGGCCGGGTCCGGGTCTGGGTCCGGGCTGGTTAACCGGGCCGGGTTCGGGCCACATGATCCGCGGGCCGCGGTCTCCGGGCCGGGTCTGGGCCGGGCCCCGGGTCCTGGCCGGGTCTGTACTGGGCCAGGTCCGCGGGCAGGGTCCAGGCCGGGTCGGGGCCAGGTCCCGCGTCCGGTCTGGGCCGGGTTGCCCGGTCCGCGGTCCGCGCCGGGTCCGGGCCGGGTTTGGGCCGGGTCCGGGTCCGCCCCAGGTCTGGCCGTGTCTGGGCTGGATGGGTCCCCAGTCGGCTGAGAACGAAGCAGCGGCAGCTGCTTGTGCGCCCAGGTTTGGTCCCGCGGCCCCCCAAAAGCCGAGCACCAAAGGTCACTCCTATACCCAGGGCCACTCTTACGTATAGCCGAGAGTCGACGCCGGGTCGGGGAAGCCATGTTTGCTTGCGTCTTAGACGCAGGCCCGGCGCCTTCTGACAAGCAGCCTCTTTCCAAGGTGTTTCCCCCTCTCCCCCACCCTTGTGCGCGCCGCCAAGAAAAGGCGCGGCGCGCGACGGGTGGGGGGAATCCTTGAGATCCAGGCGCGGCTAGTTTATTCAGATTGGGCGTTTACGCCCGGTTTCGGGCCCCGGTGACCATCATGAGTCGATGAGGCTTGAAAAGTGCCGCAGGAAGATGGGGTCTGGGATTATGTCGGAAACTGGAACATCTACATTACCAGTGGCGTTTTTTTTAACCCAAGACTTTTTGAGGGTAACATGAAAAATGTATACACCAGGAGATCCGCGTTCCTGTGCGAATTTCGGCGCAGAGTCGAAAAAAGCGTCGGTGTATAGAGTTTGTTTCCCTATTATGGTTTTGACGTGTCTTGCGATGTTGTATGAATTCCACAGCTTCGGATCCCATGGATCAGGGAGCTCAAACTGTGTCCAGAGGGCCGTGCCTGTCTGGCGCCCAAATGCCCCAGGCGCCGCAGGAGAAGGAAAAGAAGGAGGAGGAGGAGGAGGAGGAGGAGGAGGAGGGTGAAGGAGGAGGAGGGGAGGAGGAGGGAGGAGGAGGAGGAGGAGGAGGAGGAGGAAGCAGGAGCGGAGGTGGAGGAGAGGAGGGGCGGAGGAGGGGGAGGAAGAGGAGGAGGGAGGTGGGGGTGAGGAGGAGGAGGTGGAGGAGGAGGGAGGAGGAGGAGGAGGAGGAGGATGAGGAGGCGGAGGAGGAGGAGGCGAGGAGAGGAGGAGGAGGAGGAGGAGGAGGAGGGGAGGAGGAGGAGGAGGTGGAGGAGGAGGGGGGGAGGGGGGAGGAGGGAGGTGGAGGAGGAGAGGAGGGAAGGAGAGGAGGAGGAGGCGGAGGAGGAGGAGGAGAGAGGAGGCAGGAGGAGGAGGAGGAGGGGAGGGGGAGGAGGCAAGCTAGGTGCGCTCGCGTCAACATCTGACATCCTACCCCTCCCTCCCATCTCTTCCCATTGAGCTACTTCATTGTCCTCTCACCGAATCGGGCTTCGCATCTGACCCTGTTACCTAAGAGGGAAAGGAGGAGGACGACGGCGCGATGAAAACGAAGACGACGACGACGAAGACGACGACGACGACAACCACGACGACGACGACGACGGCGGCGACGACGACGACGACGACGACGACGACGATGAGGACGACCGGCGACGAAGACGACGACGACGACGACGCGACCGCGCCGGAGCGGCACCCGCGCCAGCTGCCCAAACCTCCCGGGAATCCTGTGCGGAAAAGGACGCCGCCCAAAAGGGGGGGGGGGGGCTTTCTGCGGCCCCAAAAATCAACGAATCGACACCGGATGTGTAATCACCTCCGATGTTTTTGCCGGGGATCATTTTCTAGATTTGGGGCTTCTTAAAAAGGATCGAAAACGTCGGCGCTGCAGCGGGAGCACGTTTTGGAACAACGAGAGGCGCAGAAATTGGGCCAGCGCTGCAGCGGGAGCACGATTCGGAACGAGCGGGAGCGCGGAAATGAGGCCAGCGCTGCAGCGGGAACACGATTCGGAAGGAGCGGGAGCCCGAAAATTAGGCCAGCGCCTCAGCGAGAGCAGCATTTTAGAAAAAAACACAAGCGAAAACCCAACTCCGGGGAATCCTGTGTGTAAAAAAACAGTACGCGGGGGGGTGCCGAACATCTTCCGGACGCCATCAGGGGAAGTGGGAGAGTAGTATTCATATTGTGTAATTGTGATGGGGAGGAGGAGGAGGAGAAAAGAAGGAGGGGGGGAGGGGGGAGGGGGAAGGGAGGAGGAGGGGAGAGGGAGGAGGGGGGGGAGGGAAAGAATGCGGAGGAGGCTATGGATCGAGTGGTTTTGAGGTTGTTCGTCGTGTTTGATCGTCCGAGGCCAGCCAGGAGACATGTGCGGACCCGTGCGGGCCATCGCGCACCCGCTCTGCCTCGAGCAGATTGGCCACCACCGCTGCCCGACGTCGATGCGCGTGGCCCCTCGGTGCAGGCTGCGGCGCTCAGTCGCACCTGGCGGCGCTGAGGGGGTGCTTTCCCCCAGGTTGTGCTTGGGAGGCTGGCACTTGGCCCACCGCTCTTCTAGTGGGGGATCGGCTAGAGAATTGCTCTACCCCGAAATTGAGTTTCCGTCGAAGCTAGAACCACAAAGCACG